ATGGTTCAATATAATTGACTGCGTTTTATTTTCCTTAATAAAATCATATTTTAATCATGCCTTTCTAATACTGCACTTACTTTTAATCAAATCCCTTTACCTACAAATTTGTAAAAATCCTTTGGGTTATTTCCAAAGCTGCCTGTTTTTGCCTATTATTTCTGTGTTCTTATGTAATTTTGAGGCAAGCATGTCTCACATGTATTAATAACACATTATGTTGGTGGAGAGTTCTTTTGGCAGCAATAGCATTGCAAAATCCAGAAAAGGGCTCTTTTATAATTTTTCTTGTGACTGCAGTTCTGGTTTATTTCTCCCTGTGTTTTCATGTTATGAGGATATAATTAAAAGCAAGCTTCCTCTAGAATTATCACCCCCTCTCCTCAAACCTCCTCATTTTTCTTTTCTCTGCTTTCTTCATAATCATCATTTTCAGTATCAGCTATCAGCACCATTTTTACCATTGAGAAGAAATTCCTGGTTGCATGTGGTAATCTACTGGGCTCTGTATCAGAGGAATGTGCAGAGCTTCTTAAGGTCTTCTTCCCTCAGCTATTTACAGTCAGATTGAATTGTCTTTCCTGTGTCCTCATTACATTTCAGAGCCTCCAGGGGAAACTTTCTTTGCTACCTATATCTTAGTATAACACAGGATGTTGAGCTGCATGGCAGAGATCAATTGTGCATTCCTTCCTTGCTTGTTTTCTTTTCCACCCCCCCCACCCCTTCCCTACCTTATCCTTCTTTCCTACCCAACTCTCCCTCTCTCCTTCCCTCCCTCCCTTTCCCCCCACCACTTCTACTGAGATATAATTCACTTAGCATGAAACTCTCCTGATTAAAATATACAAAGTACTGGGTTTTAGTGCATGCACAAAATTGTGAAACCAAACCGGGCTCCAATTTTGGAACATGTTTATCACCCCAAAAAGAAATGCATTAGTACTTCCTTTCTAAATCTACGCTCAACCCCGGCAAGCACAAATTTACCACTTCTAAAGATTTTCCTATTCTGGACCTTAAATATTTAGAATCATAAACATATAGCCTGGTGTGTCCTTTTTTTTTTTTTTTCACTTATCATAATGTTTTCCAGGTTGGCAAATATTATAACTTGTTTTTGTAGTTTCTTCCTTTTTAAATAAGTAATATTCCATTGTGTGCATCTTAACACATTTTGCTTATCCAGCATAATTCAATTCCAGTTTGGGTGGTTTCCTCTTTATGACTGTGCTGCTGTGAATGTTTATGTACAGACTTGTCTGGGGTCTTACATTTTTATTTCTCTTGGGTAGAAACTTAAAGTGGAATTGCTGGGGATATGTTTAACGTTTTGAGGAACGGTCCAACTCTTTCAAAGTGGCTGTAACGTTTTGTGCTCCCCCAGTAATATGTGAGTGTTGTAATTTCTTCACATCCACACTAACATTTGATTTTATCTGTCTCTTGGACTATAACCCTCCTAGTCCATTTCCCTAATTAGTAATGATTTTGAGCATCTTTGCATGTGTCTACTGGCCATTTTTATGGAAAAATATTTATTCAAATCCTTTAGTTGGGTTGTCTTTTTATTATTGAATTGTAAGTATTCTTTATATATGGTTGCAACTTCCTTTTCAGATATGCAATTTACAAATAGTTCTTCCCAGGTGGTTTTTAAAAATAGATACTTTTTTTTTTAAATTTTTTTTTGTGGGACCCTCGGGGCAGCCTTGCAGCCCAGCGCTCAACCTCAACCCACTGCAACACCAGGAGAAGCCCAAAATAGATACATTTTTTAAAGAGCAACTTTAGGTTCACAACAAAAGTCAGTAGAAATTACTAATAGTTCTCAGATGCCCCTTGCCACCACCAACCTGTGCTGCTATCAAGATACTCAACCAGAGCATTGACTAACCTCCACTGACAGCTCATTATTGTCCTGAGTCCATAGTTTACATTAGTGTTCACTCTTCCTGTTGTGTACTCATGAGTTTTGACAAAAGTAGAACATATATATACTATTATAGTATCATACAGAATAGTTTTATGACCCTAAAAATCATCTGCTTTGCCTGTTCACCCCTCCCTCCTTGTAACCAGAGACTTTTTGTTGTTTCCATAGTTTTATCTTTTTCAGAATGTCATACAGTTAGAATGCACTGAATCCTTAGATCAAGTTGGAAGGAAGTGACATGTTCACAATATTGGTTCTACCTACCCATGAACATATAATAACTTTAGTTCTTTGATCTCTTTCATCAGCATTTTTGTAGTTTTCGTCATATAGACCTTGTACATGTTTTGTTAAATTTATACCTAAGTGCTTGTCTTTTGGATACTATGTAAATGGTATCATGGTTTTGATTGCAAATACCACTGTTTATTACTGGTACATAGGAAAGCAATTTACTGTAACATATTAACCTTGTTTGCTGCAACTTTGCTTTAACTACTTATTAGTTTCAGGATTTTTTTAGATCAATTCTTTTGATTCCTTGTAAAGACAATCCTGTCATCTGCAAACAAAGACAGTTTTATTTCTTCCTTTCCAATCTACATAACTTTTTTTTTTTTTTTTTGTCTTACTGTATTAGCTGGAACTTCCAGTATGATATTGCAAAGGAGTGCTAATGGGGGAGTGCTAACAACATTTTTGCCTTTTTCCTGGTCTTAACAGGAAAGGTTCCAATTTCCCAACTTTAAATAATGATGTCAGTTATAGTATTTTTGGTAGATGTTCCCTGTCACATTGAGGAAGTTCTTCTCTATTAGTTTGCTGAAAGTTTTTATCATGGGTGTGTTTTGGGATTTTGTCAAATACTTTTTTTCTGCATCTGTCAATATGATTTTGTGGTAGTCCTTCTTTAGCCTGTGAATTCATTAATTAATTTTCCAGTGTTGAACCAGTCTTGCACACTAGGATAAACCTCACTTGGTTGCATTTCTTTTTCTTTTCATTTTTTGAAAGATTTTTTTATTTATTCATACAAGAACTGGGGTACAGGCCAGAGGTACAGGGGAGAGGATTCACCAGAGACAGAGTGGGGATCAGAACAGGCAGATTGACTGAAATACACTGCTGAGGGGAGCAGTGGGCGAGTTAGGAGAGGTCTGCTGCGCCATGTGGGTTGCTTCCTGGCCGGTCAGGAATCAAACTTGTGCTGCAGAGGTTGCATATAGCTTCACAGTGCTGTGCTTAACCCCTTGCGCCACCAGGGAAGCCATGTTTTATTTTTTTAAATTATTCCTTCCTTAATGAATTGTCTTAGCACCTTACTTTCTTCTATAAAAGAAATAGTTCATCCAGCAATAGGCTTTCAAAAAAGTAGAGAGAAAAAAGGCAAACATACAGAGTCAGTTATGTTTATCTTCTCCAGGTTTTTTCTGATGGTTTTCTAGAAGTTTGTTGATTACTGTGTCCTCACTGTGGCATATTAATTAAGAGCAAGGGCTGTGGAATAAGCTGTAACTAGGTTGAGTTTTAGTTCTATCACATCATAGGTATGTGAACTTGGCCCCTCAAGCCAAGTTTATTCATCTGTAAAAATAGGATAATAATATCTAATTCAGTACTTAACCTATGTTAAGCAACACATATTTTAGACATTTTTTTTTTCCTATTGATTAAATAACTAGCAGTAAAACTCGACCAGGGTCTTTCCTTGCCCCCTTCTGTTTGCCAAGTGTATCTCACACATTGCCTTTTTCTCCTTCTTCCCCTGTTCCTAGCTTTTATTCCAAGTAGTCCTCTTTGCTTTAGGATTTTTCTCTCAACCCACTGTCATAGTTGAAATGGAGAAAAGAAAGAAAGCTGTACGGAGGCTGTCCAAATTTCAATAAGGAATAATTAAAAAACAAAATGCTTTTGAGACCCAAAGGAATACATTCCAAATGATATAATTTCACATCTCTGGCTGCTGCCAGAGCTTTATTTAGGAAGAGATCTTTCCGCCTCACAGATGACACAATGACAAGCTTTCTCATTTTCAGTTTTTACTTTGTTTAATAAGAATATACAAGTAATTGTTTTTAGATACTTAATTGTCAATTTTATATTGCATTTCCTGTATCACATTTTGGTTTCTTGTATGTCAAATTCTTCCATAGGATATTGGGACTGGGGGAAGTTCAAATAAAAATGCGCAATCATTAATTTTGTGTTTTGCCTACTTAATATGGCAGGGATGGACTGAAATATTGACTGAGCTTCATATCATGAAGGCTTCTACTTATGAGATTTTATTTTACTTCACTTTTAACACAATTTTAGGATGTTCTGGGATCTAAAGGAATAAACTAATGAAGTGAATAGAATGTTGCTGTTTATTACTTCATGTCGCAATTATGTGTTAGGAGTTGGGTAGGGGCTCCAAAACACTGCATAGCTTGCTCTTTAATTTATAAAATCTAAATTCCACACACTGTTCTCTGTATTTGTTTTAAATGTGTAATGGTCAAAGTTACTTGTATAAATAGGTTTGATAAAAGAGAAGGAACCTTAGTTCTTTTTTTTTTTTAAAGATTTATTTATTGATACAAGTGATGGGATACAGGCCAGAGGTGAGAGGATTTACCAGAGACAGAGTGGGGAGCAGACAAATCTACTGAAATACACTGCTGAGGGGAGCAGCAGATGAGACAGGAGAGGTCTGCTGTGCCATGTGGGCTAGCTCCCTGGCTGGGATCGAACTCTTGTTGCAGTGGCTGCTGCTAGCTTAATAGCGCTGAGACTTTATCCCCTGTGCAACCAGAGCACCTCAGGAACCTTATCTCTTGTCACTCTTAGTGACTTGATGAGACATCCAGAACCTGCCCTCAGGAGTGTGTGACTTACCACCGTTGATATTAATGATCTCAAAGGCTGTCAGACCTGAGCTGCTTTTTCTGAGATGATGTGAAATACACAGCTGTATAACCCAACAGAGAAATAACATGCAAATTTAAACCTCATACCCCAAATAATTGGAAAGTGTAGTAAGAAACCTGATAAAAGTAAATAACTTGTACCTCCTCAACAGAGAGAGGGAGATCTTCCAACTTCAAAGAAGAAACGCCCGGCAGGGGAGAAGATCATGTACACTCTGGTCTCAGTCCCACATGGGAATGACATTGCATCCCTTTTTGAACTGGATGCCACAACTCTTCAGAGAGCTGATTGCCTGGTTCCAAGGTAAAAAAAAAAAAAAAAAAAAAAAAAAAAAAAAAAAAAAGTTTTGAGTAAAAGCTAGTGGTTCTTTGAATAATTTTCTGGTTGGTAAGGAATTGAAATCCTAACTTTAATATACTTGATGTGATATCAAAGGAGCAAGCATAGATGGGGAAAATGTGTGAAAATTGTATCTCCTCCATGAGTAGACAAGCACAGTTAGCTTTGTTATTATAATACAGTTCACCCTTGAACAGCATGAACTGACCAGTCCACTCATACATGATTTTTTTCCACCTGTCCTCTTTCCTTAGTCTGCTCAAGATGAAGACAGCAATTGTAAAGACCTTTATGATGAGTCCCTTAAATTTTGTTATAACATTTTTTTTTTTTTTCAGTTTATTATAAGCTAGAACAGGTATTGCATACATGAAACAAAAGATGCTTTATTCTACTGTTTATGTTATTGGTAAGGCTCCCTGTCAACAGCAGGTGATTAGTAGCTCAGATTTTGGGAGAATCAAAAATTATACTTAGATTTTAGACTGCATAGGGGTAGGAGGCCCAAACCCTTGCATTGTTCAAGAGCCAACTGAACTTAAAATATGCAGCACTAAAGAAATTCTGAAAAGTTCCTGAGAATTATTTATTCTTTTTACATAGATGGCCTTCTATTACTAAAATGCAGAGTAATCCAGAAGCATTTCTATTAAATCATATTATTTATTTTTATTTTATCAGATTCATTTGTTCATTCATTTCATTAATCATTCAGTCCACCAATATTTATGGAACCATGATTCCATTCCAGGCATTGTCTTCAGTGTTGGGAAGACAACAGTGAGCAAGCTAGTTATGTATTTACATTCAAATAAATGAGACAGATAAGTCAATAAACATAAATATAAGGTTAGGTCATGAAAATGCTTTGAAGAAAAATTGCAGAGTGGGAGAGGCCTGTTAAGAGCGATGAGATGCATCAACTTTGATTCAGGACACTTAGGTCTTGAAAAGATCTTAAGGATCAAGAACTGCCTATCTGGAAAGAGTGTTTTAAGTGTCCAGAATATGAGATGGGAGAGAAAATGCCAAAGTATCTCCCTTTAATAGATACTTATTTGTTAAATAGTGATAATGAAAGACTCTTTAAAAATAATGTTACTAGCATTGGATAAAGTGCTCCTGCCCTTTCCCAGGCACCCTCTGACTGCTTATAAGCAGTTTTTCTATTTCTTATACACTGAAATAGCAAACACTGACCTAGTGAGTAGGAGCATTCACAATGTGGATCCCATGAATGGCTAAGCTAGACTCCAGTTACTCCTGCAGACAGACAAACTACCAAAGGCCTGCTCTCGGACAGCATTTTGGACTGAGCTGGCCTCTTCCCCTGTGGACTGCACCTCACCTGCAGCGGTGTTGCCCACAGAGCCTGTCACAACACTCGTGATTGGGCTTCACCCTCAGAGTTCTGGTTTGGTGGACTGGGATGAAGCCTCAGAGCTGCATTTCTGACTCGTCCCCAAGTGGTACTTACTGCTGGTCCAGGGACCATGCTCTGGGAAGCAGTGGTCCAGGTAATAATTCTGTAAGCTATGAAACAGGCTATGGTTCAGAATTTTCTCTTAAACCAAACTGATCTCTGGTGATGTCAACAACTAGCCTAAAGTACATTTCTAGTCATACTGTGTACAAAGCTGTGAATTGTGTTAATATGCAAGTATGCTAATTTTTATAATCTTTTATTTTGCTTCTAGGAACTCATATGTTCGGTTAAGACATTTATGTACCAATACATGGGTAACCAGTACGAGTATCCCCATAGACACAGATGAAGAGAGACCTGTTATGTTGAAGGTAAATGTTGCTGACAATTGTTTAATTTTGTGACTAGGTTTGGAGGGATGGGTAACTGGCATGTACTTGACAGTTCATCCCCAATATCTATCTTAGAGATGATTGCAGTTAATCTCATCAAGCCCGGTTGTCTGCCAGGGTATCAGTACCTGACTAAATGGCTTGGGTGCAGCAGGGCAGTGATGCAGGAGGGGTCTGGGCCACTACCTGGAGAGCAGGGGCTGATTCTGGGGGTGTATTTTCTCTCTTCTGTTGAAACAGAAGGTAAGGGTCAGCTGGGCTTTGGGAGAAGGACAGGAAGTGGGCATGGAAAGCCCACATGTCCTCCAGCCTTTCATAGTGGCTAGTGGGTGTGGAAATTACTGTGTTTAAATTCCTTGTTTCCATCTTCTGTTTCTTGAACAGTGCTAAGTTGTATTAGTCCTCAAAGAATCGTGCACAGTTATTAAAAGACAATAGCAACTAATCTTTTTTTATGTGATAAATATATTTCCCTATTTTATTTTATTTTTTAATATATTTTTACATCATTTTTCATTTTTGCACAATGTATACATTTTCACCTTGGTTATATTCCCTATACAGTTGCACCCCCTTTTTGACCCCAATCCCTCCTCTCCCCGTCCTCTCCCACCCCCACCTCCTTAGTGTGTCTCTGGTTTATAATTGCTTGTTGATTTTGATTTTTTGAAAAACTTTGCAGATTGGAACTTGCCAAACAAAAGAGGACAAAGAAGCCTTTGCCATTGTGTCTGTCCCGTTGTCTGAGGTTCGAGATCTAGACTTTGCCAATGATGCAAATAAGGTGCTGGCGACCACAGTGAAAAAGCTGGAGAATGGCACCATCACTCAGAATGAAAGGAGGTTAGTGACATTTTATAATGACTCTTAAATTGTCAAAAAAGTCTGCGCTTACCTCTTGCAGTAAGCCTCAAGCAAAGGGATGATGCTTAGGGAATGTTTACAATCTTCTCCAGAGCAGTGCACCTTGGCTCACTTTATTCATGGTGAGTAAATGCAAAGGGTGATGTTAAAAGCTACTGGGATATTACTTTTTTAACTTTAGCTTGGCTTGGGAACAGTTGTTTTTAGTTACTCTCTGATCTTGTCTTTCAAATGTTTCCTAGAACATTTGCAGTACCTTTTGTTGCACTTGATTCTATGCTTGAATTTTGAATTCTGAAAGTCCTGAAAGGAGGTTTGTTTGTTTGTTTTTGGTCCTTATTTATTCAAGACACATTTCTTTGCTCAGGTACCACCAAAACAAATAAAACAAACAAAACATGTACTATCAGAAGACAATTTGCATGGTGCAGGTCTCTGTCCACAGGAAATTTGATCCTTGATTTGTCAACTCTGGTTTTAGAACTAAGGGAGAAAGAGAAAGAGACACTGATTGCTGTATGGGTTATTTCCTCCCTACTCTGTGTCAGGTACTGTGGTAGGCACTGTACATGTATCTTATTTAACCCCTCAAATAGCTCTGTGAGGGACATGATTTTCATTTTACACAAGAGAACTTTGAAAAGTCACAGTTAGAGGTTGGGGATTCTGTCATGTGTGGTTTTCTTTTTTAATGATTTATTTATTTATGCATACAAGAGCTGGGGTACAGGCCAGAGGTGTGGGGGGTGAGAGGATTCACGAGAGACAGAGTAGGGAGCAGAACAGGCAGATCGACTGAAACACACTGCTGAGTGGAGCAGTGGGTGAGACAGGAAAGGTCTGCTGCACCATGTGGGTCAGCTCCCTGGCCGGGGATTGAACTCGTGCTGCAGTGGCTGCAGATAGTTTCATAGTGCTGATGTTTAACCCCTTACAACACCAGGGATGCTCTATGTGTGGTTTTCAAGTCTATCTTTCTGCTGTGCACTGGAGCACAAGCATTCTCTCCATTTCTTCTCTGCACATGTCTTTCCATTGAACAAGGATAGCTATTCGCTAGTGTCCTAGGAATTCATTCATCAGCCCCCTGGTGAGATAATGGGCATAAGCACTTTGGAAAATAGTTTGACAATAATCAGCTAAGTTAAAGCAGCAAACACTCCTCATTTAAATGGAATTGTGACTGGCTTATATCACTTAGTAATGTTCTTCAGATTCACCTGTGTTGTCACTTGTGACAGGATTCCCTTCTTTTTTGAGGCTGAATAATTCTCCATTGTGTGTATACAGGTATGCATGACTTAACAATGTTTTGGTCAACAATGGATCACATAGATGGTTGTTGATCCCAATAGGTTATTGTATGGAGCTCAAATGCTTACATGTGGTATGTGTGGTAATACTCTATGCTGTTTGCACAGTGACTAGAATGTCCAGTGACACAGTACTCAGAATGTGTGCCTGTCCCTAAGGGATGCATAACTGTGTGTGGTATTTTCTTTATCCATTCATCTATCGATGGGCATTTAGGTTTTTATTATATGTTGGCTTTTGTTAATAATAGTGTAAGTAATAGCCTGATAATAGTGCTGCATAATGGACTAAGGCATAGAAACAGATGTGAATGGTGGTCGCCAGGGGCTGGGTGGGGAGGGGGGAAATGAGGAACTAATGTTCAATGAACACAAAGCTTCATTTATACAAGATGAGTAAGAGTTGGAGGATGTACAGTTGTGGTATCGCCTGCAGCTGGCAATACCAAATCGTGCACTTAAATAGTTGTGAAGAGGGTAGATGTGATGTTAAGTGTTCTTAACACACTTTTTCAAGCAAACACTCCATGACTCACCAGTTCTATTCCTAAGAGAATGTTCTTGAGCATTTCTCCAAAAGAAGCCCTATATTCAGTCTTACTCCAAATAAAACTATCCAAAACTATCCAGTTGAACAGATGAATACAATTTAGGTATAATCACATAATGCAGTTGCAGCACAGCCATGAAAAGAAATGGACTGTCTCTATATGTACCCGCATGGATAAATCTAATAAACTTTAGATTGAGTGAGAACTAAATGCAAATGCTTTCACTGTGATTTTATTTGTACAGTTCAAAAACAAAATGAAATTCTGTTTCTTTGGAGCACTTAAGCAATTGGCAGAACTATAAAGAAATGCAAGAAATAATTGTCATAAAAATTAGGATGGTGTTGCCTTTGAGGGGAGGGGAGAGTTATGATTGGGGAGAATTTTGAGAAGGTCCTGTGCCATTTCTTGCTTTTGGGGGATGGCTTTTTGGTGTTCACTTTATAAATATTTCATAGTAAACATACATGCCTGGTGAGCTTTTAGATATAGATCTTACAGTATGAAGGAACAAACCCCCACCTATTATCAATAGAAAAACATAAATGAGCAAATAAATGGAATAGCTGTTTTTTAGTTTCCTCTCTATTGTTACCTGTTTCCCCCTAACAAACCTGCATTTGAAAACTACTGCTGCCTAGTCAGCCATTCTTCTAGCTCTTTAGAGGAAATGAATAAAGGCCAGAAGTTGAAGCAACTGCTCTCCTCTTCTGGATTATAGATAATTAAATATCAGAGCTAAATTATGGTGGGTAATGGAATCCAGTTAGACAGTACTTTATATTTGCCTGCTCTTCAGCTATTAATTTTTCCTTTTGATGGATCCATTTCTTTGTGTCTGTCACTCTCGCATAGGCACAGAAATTTACTCAGCCTCACTTAAAAGTCTCCTTTGCTAAGAGTGAATGTGTTGCTTGAAGAAAAGGACAAATGGAGGTTCAGATCAGGGCCACTCAGGCATCGCTGGCTGAAACCTGCATGAAGTGGCTCTTTCTTTACTTCCTGCCAGCGAGAATCTTAACCGCTCAAGATGGTGCTAAGGATGCTTCTGCACCTGGACGGACTAGGGATCATGCATTTTTATTCCCCCAGTTACCTTCTTTGCTGTTGTAGAAGGGAAAACATTATCGCAGAGAGAAGGTCTTGCCTGAGCAATAAGAAGTGGCAATTATTTAACTTAGTAATTTCAGAAAGCTGCTTCCCATCAAAATGCATTCAGAGCTGCCTGTCAGCACAGGAGAGCTTATTGGCATAGTTGAATGCATTTATATTATTCTCTCTTCTCAGTTTGAGAATTCAGTATAAAGTTCTTTCTGAAAATACTTCACAACTCTGACATTTTTCCCCCCTGGAGAATGAAGTTATTATTAGATATTCTTTTACTCAAAACTCGGAAGAATGATAAACGGTCAAAGGGCAGGAGTTAGAATATTGCAGATGTGTCCCACAGAGCCTGTGGTAGTTGCATCCTCTCGCTTGTCAGTCCCGTGACTCACCCCAGGAACGGACTTGGGAGGCACAGCTCCAGAGTTAGGCCCCACGCTCCTCAACCTGAGATGTCTTTCTGCGCAATTTTCTGATGTTATTCTGCACAGCTGCTCCAATGAATAGTGTTGGAACAAGCAGGGCCTACGGGGAGGGGGAGGATGGAAGGAGATAACTGCTCTTCAGAATTGGAGAAAGTCATGATGTATGTGCAGTGATAAAACAGACTTTCTGCACCAGGATTCATCTCTGAGGTCCAGGAAAAGATGGGTCTCTCTGTAGTATCTAGAGTTCAGAGGTGCCTTTATTTTAATCCTACTAGACCCGTGCTGCGTGCCGTGAGCCTCGAGTGCATGAAGTGTGAACAGCACAGACTGTGGCCGTGTTGTCATACAAGCTACAGGAGGGTTAGTCCAGGTTCCCAAGATAGAAACTGAGAATCTAGAATGACAGGCCTCCTACATCTGATCCATGTGAATATTTTTCTGTAGCAATATCGTTTTCCCTTCAATTTTGTTTGCCTGATTTTGCTATCTGTATGCTCTCTATCTTTTTTGTTCTGCATTTATGTTCCTGACACCCCTTTTTAAATAGCCATATTTTCATGTTTTCTGCCCATTTTGTTTTGGTGATGTCTCTTGTGAGTAGCAGAGAGCTGGGTTTAAAAAAATCTAACTTGATATTCTCTTTTAATTTATGAGTTTTCGGCCATATTGCTGTTCTTTGGCATTTACCCTGAAGTTCTTTTCATATATTTTAACTATATATCTTTTCTTATAAAACTTGAAGTCTTTAAATATTTCTTTCCTTCTCTCATGGACATTAAGCCCCTCAGCATACTTATATTACACACTGATATTCTTATTCTCCCTCTTCATTGGACTAGTTATCTAGAACTATAGTTCTCTATTTTCATTAAAAAGTTTTATTTTATAATATTTTATACCTGCAAACAAATGTCTTAAAATCATGATGTACCACCTGAAAACTTAGTTTCTAAAATCACTTTTATTATTAATTAAATTTCTTGATATATTTAGCTCCCCTGCTTACCTTTTATTTTTTTGCATCTTGCATGCTCCAAGTTGTCTTTTTGTTGAAATTCTTTTAGTGCATTCAGTGAGTGTCTATGGGTTAGATGTCATCTTAGCTTTTTTTGGTATATGATAATGTTTATCATGTGATACTATGATAATGTTAATTTTAACTCCACTCTTAAGTGATTATTTATAGAATGCTAGATTGACAAGTATTTTCCTTTAGTATTTTAAATTAGAATTTAATTATTTCCTGGCTTCTTTCGTTGCCATTAAGGAGTCTTCTGTTGGTAGAATTGTTTCTCTTTGTTGTCACTGACTCATATGGTAATTTTGTGGATTTTTTTTTTTTTTTGATGTACTAAAGCCTCACTGTTATGTGTTGACAAGAAAGTTTTATTTTCATTTTCCCACTGGACACTTGGGGTTAATACTTAATTTTTTTATTATTTTTTTTAATCTTTTTTTTTTAAGATTTATTTATTTATTATTTATACAAGCACTGGGTACAGTCAGTAGCGCGGGAGGATGAGAGAATTCACCAGAGCCAGAGCGGGGATCAGAGCAGGCAGAAGGACCGAAGTACACTGCTGAGGGAAGCAGCGGGCGGCAGGAGAGGTCTGCGCGCCATGCGGGACCCTCCTCCCATGGCCAGGCAGCAGCTGGGGATCGAACAGGCGCTGCAGAGGCTGCGGGCAGCTTCGCAACCCAGCGCTCAACCGCTGCGCCACCGGGGAGGCCCGGGGTTAATACTTTAAATCTGAATACTGTGTCTTCCTTCAATTCTGGAAAAATTTCAACTAGTTCCTTCAAATATAACTTCTTTATATTTTCTTCTCTCTCTCTCTCTTTTTTTTTTTTTTTTTGTAAAAGGACAGGTTTATTAGAAAAAGGAGAAAGAAAAAGAGAGGCACCTGCATAGTCACAGGTGCGCAAGGGAGCTCCTCTTCTCTCTTGAAATTTTATTAGTTAGATGTTAGGTCCTCTTAATTCATCCTCTTTATCGATTACCTTTCCTTTTACAATTTGCCATTTAAAGTCTCTGCTGCTTTCCAGATCAGTTTTTTTGATGCTGCCTTTGAAATCACTACTTTGCTTAGAACTTTGTGCAGAATAGTTTATATTCATGGATTACATTTTTATTTAAATCGTTGCAATTTTTATTTCTCAGGTATTTGCACATCTACCTATTCTTATATTTGTGCCCATTTTTATATATGTTCTCTTTCTGGATATGTAATTTCATTCTTTACCTCTTTGATAATTGAAAACACTTATTTAAAAGTAATTCTGAAATTTCCTTTGTTTTTTTTTATCATATCATGTGTTTTGTTGGTAGCTTGTTGATGCCTGATATTTTAATGTGATGACTGGCTTGCTTTATGTCATTTTCAATAAGCAGGCTCTTGCTGGGGGAAGATTTTTGCTTTCTCTCAATTTTTTTAATATTTTATTTTATATAATTCTTACATCATTTTTCATTTTTGCACAATGTATGCATTTTCATTTTGGTTGTATTTCCCATACATGCACCTCCCCCCTTATTTTGAACCTAATCCTTCCTCTCCCCGCTACTCCTGCCCCGCCCCCCCCCCCCCGTATGTCTCTGGTTTACAGTTGCTTGTTGATTTTGATTTTTACTTTGTATTGATTAGTCTTTTTCCTGGTCCCCTATTTAGGTTTTCTAAGTTCCTGCTGAGGAGACCATCCGGTATTTTTCTTTTTCTTTCTGACTTATTTTGCTGGGCATGATCCCTTCTAGCTGCATCCATGTTGCTGCAAACTGCATGTGTTTATCTTTTTTGTTTGCTGAGTAATTTTCCTTTGTGTGTATGTACCACATCTTCTTGATCCAGTCATTTATTTTTGGGCATTTGGGGTTTTTCCATAGCTTAGCTATTGTAAATAGTGCTGCTATAAACATAGGGGTGCAGGTGCCCTTTAAAAAAACTAGCAACAACAAATGTTGGTGAGGTTGTGGAGAAAAAGGAACTCTCCTGCACTGCTGATGGGAGTGCAAACTGGTCCAACCACTATGGAGAGCTGTGTGGAGATTTCTTGACCTACTAAACATAGAGCTTCCATATGATCCAGCAATTCCACTCCTAGGTATTTTACCCAAGTGACACAAAAATATTAATTTCTCTCAATATTTTTGCTCATTTTTCCTATTATTCCTATTATTCCTATTATTCATTATTCTCCTATTATTCCTATTATTTCCTATTATTATGGTTGCCTCCACTGATCCTCCCTTGACTAGCTCAAGCCAGATTGCCATTGAGGGCTGAGAGTGATGCCTCACAGTCGCTTTGACTTCAGCCATGGTGAGCCCAGGTGGGCAGGTGTGGACCCTCTTATGTAGTGTCACATTGCCTCCAACCACAGCACACCGGAACCTGAGCAGGGGTCATGGTTTTTAAGGATCCCCTACAAGGACAGAGAAGCCCTGTTCAGACCTCCACTTTTGCATCTTTAGCTTTGCTCCCTATAGATGTGCTTTTAGCCTCTGTTGCCTTGCAGGGATTGAACAGTTTCCCTGGTCATCACTGTTTTTCTTATTTTTTCCTGACCCATGAAGCTTATTATTATGTTTTAAGATAGGTCTTTTTGAAAATATATTTTCATCTATCATTACTACACATGATAGAGTGATACAAAAGAAAGACTGAATGAGTTTGCAGGACCTGACCATTTCTCAGTGTTGAATTGGTGTTTGATCTAAACTGAAAAAAAAAAAAAAAAAAACAAAAAAAAAAGCAGTTTTCTTTGCCACAGATGGGATGCCTGCAGGGAAAAGGCAAAAACAAAAATCCCAACAAAGAAATCTCCCCCATACCCAAAAGATTCTAGTCATTTCTGAGGTCAAAAGAGAAGGCTGGTTTCCTTGGCCTCCAGGACCTCTTCCTTGGGAAGGTGAACTGTGTAGTGGGGTGTATATGTAGTGATCCCCATCAAGGCTGCCAATTTTCTTCATCGTCATTCCATCTAAGTATCCACAGTCCTTACCATAGACCGTGGGGGCCTCCTGCCTAATTTGTTCCCATCCCATCTTCCCTCCTCCTCTGGCAAGCTGAAATTTGGATGTGGTTGGCTAAATTCTGAATTATGGATCTGTCCACTGGTTTCCACAAAGGGTGTTCTCTGTCATGAGGACAATCAGGAGATAGGGGCAAGGTGCTCCCTGTCTGAATATTGTACAGGTTTCTAGAATCATTAGATCTCTTAAATTGTAGTTTTCTTATTGATGTGATCATGATCGATGATGCTAATAGCAGTGAATGAGTATGCTAATGTCTATGGATAGTTAATTTATATACTTGTCGGGTAGCTTTGGTCTTATTTTTAAAAGCTCCTATAGAAAATGATAAATAGCACATAGAGGAAGGGAAAAAAACAATCTAAGACCAGAAGAGGCTTCAAGACACATCAGGTGCTAAATGCCATTGGAATGTAAGTAATGATTAAAATGATAACCAAAATGCAGAGTTCAAAGTAAACATTACTGTGTGATTTTTAAAACACTGTAATTTTTTATAGATAAATTAATACTTCCCTAGATGCTCAGAGCATCTGCTTGCTCACACTGTCTCTATGCACAGATCCTTTCAATTTTTGCTTTTCTCTGTATTGGAAAAATTGAAATGTGTTGAGTCTAGAAGTATAGTTTGAGACAGTAGGTGAATCCTCTCACCCTCCTGCTCATCTGGCCTGTACCCCGGCTCTTGTATGCATAAATAAAATAAATCTTTAAAAAATGATATGAAGTTAAGAACTTAGGAGCATAGCTGTTTTCCTTAAGCAGAAAAACTCTGCTGGTCAGTCTTCGGAAGAAGCCATCTGGTGATGTTACCCTCCGGACTCCTCTGCTTGTGTGGCTCCTGTGACTTAATCTTGTTAACAGCCTCTGCAAATTCTTGATATGTTGGTGGGGGCAAGGGGAGGGATGTTATTATTTTTCTGTTTGTTTCCATAATTTGTTCTTTTTTATTGCTGAGTAGTATTCCATAATATGGATGTACCATGGTTTGCTTATCCATTCACTAATTGAAGGTTATTTAGATGGTTTCCAATTTAGCAATTGAGAATAAAGTTGCTATAAATATCTGTTAATAGATTTCATATAATGAGAAGATTTCACTTTTCTATAGTAAATATCTGGAAATGGAATTGTGGGTTGTATGCCAAGTAAATGTTTAACTTTATTAGAACTGCCCAACTTTTCCAAGGTACTACACAATTTTACATTCCAACCAGCTATGTATGAGAGCTCCAGCTGACCTACCAACTCTTAGAATTATCTAAGAATTCTTTAGCCATTATAATAGTTGAGTAGTATCATACTGTGGTTTTCACATTTAATGTTTGACATTCCTGTATTTTCTTTGGTGGAGAATTTGTACAAATCTTCTATGCAACTTCTATAGGAAGTTTTGGAATGTTCTTTATGAAGATTTTGTAAGTACTAACTACATTAGCTATTTTTCCATTTAAAAAATTTTATTATAAGATACTTATACTAATAAGATACTTATAATTTTATTATAAGATACTTTCATTCTTTCAGTGGTTCCATTCTTACTGTTTATTAGAAAACACGTGGTAGCAAACATGATGTAGCACATGGAGATACTGAGAAATTGACTTATGTACACCCAAAACCTATATAATGTTGTCAACCAGTGTTACAGCAATAAGTTTTTTTTTAAATCACTGTTTTCTTTAGGAGTGGAAAACTTGGATATTTTCCATAATGAAGCATACCAGAGAGTAAAGAGTCCTTTTCATTTTATGACAGGTTTGTAACCAAATTATTGGAAGACCTCATCTTCTTTGTTGCTGATGTACTTAATAATGGACAAGAAGTTCTGGATGTGGTTATCACTAAGCCGAACCGAGAGCGTCAAAAATTAATGAGGGAACAAAACATATTGGCACAGGTGAATTTTTTCATACATCTGTTTATCTTTCTGAAGTCCTCACATTTAGATTACCCTAAACTGTAGTGACTGAAAACAGCAGATAATCAGCTCACAGTTTCTGTGGAGCAGGAATCTGAAAGTTGGTTATGTGGGTGGTTATGCAGGAAGCTCAGGGTCTTTCAAAAGGCTGCAATGAATGTGCTGGCTGGGACTGAGTCATCCAAGGCTGGATTGGGTGAGGACTCATGTCCCAGCTCACTTGAAGAGACCTCTCCAGAGGCAGCAGATTTCCTTAAAAATAGGGAGTCCATGAGAGGAGAGCAGAGGTAGTCCCAGTGCCAGCCACAGTCTTTATAACCCCAGCAGCATCCTATCAGTTCTCTTCATTAGTCCTACTCATTAGAAGTGAGTCAGTGAATCCAACCCATTGTTAAGGGCACAGGATTACATAAGGGTGGGAATTCCAGGAGGCAGGTGTTGTTGAGGGCCATCTTGGAGACAGCTCACTACAGACTTCTAAGGAACACATATGGTCAGACTATCTTTAGAAAAATGTGCTGGGATAATTTTCTAGCTAGAATTTCCAGGAGAACCTGGAAATGGCCATCTCCATCTGCTTCTTACTTTTTCCCCTCTTCTTTCCTAGGAAAGTAGGGCAGTCTATCCATCTATCAGCACACAAGTGCTCTGTGCTATGTTCTCATTTTCCCCTGTGAAAGTCTAGAGCTACTTCTGTACTGTGTCTTTCTGAAGTTTACGAAACAGCAATATATTAGTTCACTTCTCAATACAATGCATATATGAACTTGCCTGTTTTGATACATTCTTTTAAATCAGTTTTTTCCTGCATAACGTGATGAGCTTCTGCATGAAGTGTGAACTCAAGAAACATGGAGTTGAGAAAGCAAATCAGTAGACATATTGTCAATTAATGTTCTATATCTGGTTGCCTGAAAATATGAAATCAACATTTTTCTCAAAGAAACTCTAAGGAGACCAGTCTTGTCTGACATTAGCATTTCTTCTTTAAAAAACATTTATTTCCAAGGAGTGTTATTCATAGTATTTATTAATACTATTTCAGCCACCATATGTCAAGTCTCTTATTTCAGGCTTATAAAATGCAAGGTTTAGTGAACATAGAATTATTGAAAGAACTTTAATTTCTGTTACATTTCATGAACTAGGAAAGAGTCTTTCTCCCATTTTGCTTTCTGTTTTAATGCTCACCCTAGGGTTTGCATAATGCTTTTTCATGAGCAGTTTACACCTCCTGCCAGCTTGTCTCTGGTTATCCTACCTGCTGACTTGCTGCTTACACAGTTATATTCCTCAGTGGTTTCAAATACTTCCAAACTGATCATCTTTTACATGAAAAATCAGGGTCACTGGGAACCACCAGTGCCCATATGGCCCCTTTCTTATTTAAATGCTTATATTTTCATTGATTTAGTCACATCTTTATGCACCAATATCAATACCTTTATACCAATGCCAGTAAACTAAAGCTAAAGCAATATTTGGAGACAATTTTCTAATTTTAATTTTAGGTGAAAGGTAAATATTTTCTTCATATCTTCATATTATCTTGACTTTAGCTCATTATAGAAAATAGTAGAAGTAATTATAAGCTAATGGAAATCAAGTTATAGTTTAGTTCATCTAAAGCAGTTCATGTGACTTGGTAGAGTCGCACATCTTTTTATCCCTTATTTTAATAAAATGTAATTAAAAATTATTTTTACTTAATGTTTATGTTAGCTAGGGAATCCTTTAGTAGTATCTTTCTGTTCGTTCATACACTGATCCTGTCTCCTAAGTCCTTTTTCCCCTTTACATTCTTTCCACTCAAATAATACAAAACTGTGAGTTCATGTGTTTATTGTAAAAAAGTCAAAACCTTTTTGCAAAACATGTACCTTCATTCATTATTCCTGTTAGGTATTTGGGATTCTGAAAGCGCCCTTTAAGGAGAAAGCAGGGGAGGGCGCCATGTTGAGGCTTGAAGATCTGGGGGACCAGAGATACGCTCCCTACAAGTACATGCTGCGGCTGTGCTACCGTGTGCTGAGACATTCCCAGCAGGACTACCGCAAGAACCAGGTAGGAGGCAGCCCAGCCCCACCTCTGCATAACACTTAAAGGGTGGCCAAGTTCTTTGGTGACTGGTCTGAGACCTGTAAAGTCAGTGTGAAAAACTCCACTCTGAAATGAAATGTGTTGTATGTTGTATAGGAAATACCCAACAATGACCTGGAGGTCATTTTGATCTGATCTATGCTTTTATTCCTCCAGGTGAAATCAGAATGTTTGGTAGGAAGTCCTGAGTCCTGTTGGAGTACGATGTTAGTGTCTGCTCGGGCGGGGAGTGGGGGACAACTGAAGGATAGAGGTGTAAAAGCCAGGAGACAGCTCTTGGCAGTTCTGGGGTTGTTGAGGTACTTCATCATCTCACACACACCAAAGCCTTCATTGTCTCGTGGAAAAGCTAGAATGTGTGGAACCTATGGGGCAGACAAAGAGGGGACTTGAGAGATGACAGACAGCATTTGGGGAATTTCGAAGAGAGAGAGTTGTCCCTGAGGGCAGCCCAGGAAGGGTCTTAGAGAAGGCAGCATGTGGGGAGAGCGCAAACATCTCCATGAAGTGTATGAAACAGGCCTTTTAGGAAGAGGAGCCTCTGAAGAGAATGAGGGGTACTAGAAAAGGCACTTTTCTCCCCAAACACTCCCGATTGTGGAGGAGCAGAGGAGACCTATGTGTATATAGAGTGTAGCCCAGGGTGGCCAACTGCAAGTGGCATTTCTTTTAAGTCTTTCTTTTATCTTAAAACTGTATAATGTTTACATGGTATCCAATAATACACATGTTTAAAAGTAATTGTCATTAGGTAAGTGTGTCTTTTTCTCTTCCCATGTGAGTGTGTTCTCAGTGGATTTCAGTGATGAGCGAAGCCCTGAAGAAGAACGCTGAGAGAGAGGGCGGGTGAGGCACCATGGATGTCACTGGGAATTGCGAGTAGTGTTTATTGAGTGCTTACTTTGTGCCAGGCTCAGTTCTAAGCATTGTTCATGATGTTAATCAATAATGATTTCAGACGTGGAGCTTAGCACAGAGACCTTAACTAACTCACCAAAGATAATACAGTTTTAAGATAGAAACCAAACATGTCAATTACTCCTCAGTTGAAAAAAAGGACTGGAGCCAGAATTCAGTGCCAGTCTTGTAGTCATTACACTGCCACCTCTTTGTAGCTTGGAAGTCTTCAGGCAAGAAAAAATACATGCTGTAGGAAAGATAGGTTAAGATACATTGCCTGTGAATCTCTGTTTTTCGTTGTTGTTTTTTTTTTTTTAAGATTTATTTATACATACAAGAACTGGGGTATAGGCCAGAGGTGCGCGGGGTGAAACGATTCACCAGAGAGAGTATGGAGCAGAACATGTGGATTGACTGAAATACACTGCTGAGGAGAGTAGTGGGAGAGACAGGAGAGGGCTGCTGCGTCATGTGGGTCAGCTCCATGGCCAGGGATTGAACTCGTGCCACAGTAGTTGCAGATTGCTTCATAGTGATGATGCTTAACCCCTTGTGCCACCAGGGAGGCCTCTGAATCTCTGTTTTAAGATGTAGAAAAGGTGTAAAAAGGATATATAAGACAGAGTAGCCAGAAGATCTCATTTATCGTTTAAGACCAGGAGCAATATAGAGGAGGGGGACATTATAAACAAATTCATAAATACCTTTTTTTTAAGAAAATTTATTTATTTATTTATACATACAAGCACTGGGTACAGTCAGAAGCGCAGGAGGGTGAGAGAATTCACCAAAGCCAGAGCAGGGAGCAGAGCAGGCAGAAGGACCAAAGTACACTGCTGAGGGGAGCAACGGGCGGCAGGAGAGGTCTGCGCGCCATGTGGGACCCTCCTCCGGTGGCCGGGGAGCAGTCGGGGATCGAACCTGCACTGCAGAGGCTGCGGGCATCTCCGCAACCTAGCGCTCAACCGCTGCGCCTCTGGGGAGGCCCCATAAATACTTTTTAATATAATCCAAGTTATATATTAAACCTTCTTTCTAGTTGAAAGTGCTGTCATTGGAATTATCTATCCTAGCTCCATTGTATTCCTTCAGGGTGGTGAGATAGAGGCTCTTATTTGATTAGGAAAAAAATCAAGTTTCAGGATGTCCAGGGGCTGATCTTCAAGTATTTAGGGGATCAGCGTATACAAAGTCCCTATACGAGGGCCTACATTATTCAGTGGAGGTGTGGAGTGACCAGATCTATTGCTTTTCCTCGTGCCGTGTTTGCCCTCATTTCTATTCTTGAGTCTGAATCTGCTTTGTTAGGCCACCTCCACACACAGACAAGCAGTGCTCTATTGGAGAGATCCATTTCTGACAAGAGCCAACAGTTTACCCTGTGCCACCCTTGAGAAGCTCAGCCTTTGGAGGGGCCCGAGGGACCCTCTCTACCTTGCTGCACTGTGTGCAATGCAGTCTCCTTGGTGTGTTTGTTTCTCTACACCTTGCCAGTGGCCCAAGCAACATGCCTTACTTGTGTCCGGTCACAGTTTCTTGGCATCTGACACTGAAAACCCTTTCTCACTGTGCTGTCTTAGTGTGAGACTCTTGTGCCTAGTGTGTGTGTGCAAGCTGATTGTGCTGTGCAAGCACTTATCATTCTACAGGTGTGTACACACTGACACAGCACACTTTCACTCATTCACTCGCTCATTCTTGCACACCCTGCTACTATAATTAAGCCTCCCCTTTATTCTTACTTCACTCTACCCAGTTATATCACCTCTCCTGGTAAATGTTTATTCACATCGGGGCAACTGCTTTCTGGGTTTATCTGGAACATACCACTGTGGGTGGTATGTTTTGCCTTTTGGGGTGTCTCCCCAAGAAGCAGATCGAACCCATAACAGATGAAGGAATCCCAGGGTTCGTCAAGGGTTAGACTATATGTCTGTTATAGTCTCCTGTACATTCCAGTTGGATCTCAGTGAGCTCAAAATATTTTTCCCATTTCTTTTCTTTTTTTAAAATTTTATTTATTTATTATTTAAGTTTTATTGTTATATTTCCTATACAATTACAACCCCCTTATTTTGACCCCAAGCCCTCCTTTCCCCGCCCCCCAACCCCCATAGAGTGTTTCTGGTTCATAGTTGTTTGTTGATTTTGATATTTTCTTTCTTATAGTTATTCTTTTTCCTGGTCCCTTATTTAAGTTTTCTAGATTCCTGCTGTGAGTGAGACCATCCGGTATTTCTCTTTTTCTTTCTGGCTTATTTTGCTGAGTATGATCCCTTCCAGCTCCATCCATGTTGCTGCAAATTGCATGTATTTATCTTTTTTGAATGCTGAGTAATATTCCATGGCGTATATGTACCACATCATCTATTTTTGGGCATTTGGGTTGTTTCCAGAGCTTAGCTATTGTAAACAGTACTGATATAAACATAGGGGTGCAGGTGCTCTTTGGAATTAATGTTTCTGTGTCATTTGGGTAAATAGCTTGGAGTGGAATTGCTGGATCATATGGATGCTCTAGCTTTAGTAGGTCATGAAATCTCCACACAGCTCTCCATAGTGGTTGGACCAGTTTGCACTCCCACCAACAGTGCAGGAGAGTTCCTTTTTCTCCACAACCTTGCCAACATTTCTTTTGAGTTAAGAATGCTTTGTATTAACCATAAAGTAGCTTTCTGATCTTCTCAGAGCTCGATTTTAAAGTGTAAACAGTGAGATTTTCTACTTTTTGCATAATTACCTTGTGTCCCTTTTTATCCTTACTTAGATTTTATCAGGAATTCTTTTGTGATTTGGCACTTACCCAAGTCTTTAGTATTGACTCTGCTTGTTATTACTCAGTGAACTTGGTGATGTCTCTCATTTGATCTCATTGGTTACCAATCTTTTGATCTATTTATCAAACTTCTTGGAGGTTTACCTTTTACTAGAGTATGATAACTATGATCATAAAAAACGTACAAATCAATACTTACCTTTAAAATGACATGCCGACAAAGGGCACTTACTTAACAGGCTGCCCTGCGTGCAAGGGCAATCTATCATCTTAAAACACCACAAAGTTGCTATCTAGGGCATTTTTAAGAAATAGACATTTTCTGGTTAAACTTTCCCTAAGGGAAAACCACTTCCCAATCCTAAACGCACCCACTGAAGAAAGAAAGATAGCTTCCAAAGGACATTTCCCAAGAAACGGAAGTGAAAACTTGATGGTGGGAGTGGCTAAGCTCACCAGTTCCGTGGGTGGGCTGCTTGTACGGAATGTGAGAGGTGAGCAGCAGCGCCTTGGGGAAAAGGGGAGTGTGTGAACAGTGTGAATAGACTGACTGGAACAGCATGACTGGAACTGCCCTCCTGACCTCCTGTGTGCTTGGAATAACATTTTTATCCTTTACTGTGGCTTGCAAGCTCCTACCCCTTCTCACTCACTACACACTAACTCAGTGGCCATTCTCTGTTTACAGGACACAAAAGCTGACCCCACCATAGAGCCTGTGCCCTCATCAACCCACCTATTTCCACAGCTCCTTCTCCTTTGATCAATTCCCTCATTTTGATTTGAATCATTTCCATCCTGGCTCAACGGTCACTTCTCTGGGGCGCTGACCCTCTCTGAGGTGGCCCCCTTTCTCCATCCTTCTGTTTGTTTCATTTCCCTTAGCAGCACGTCAGTCATCATACTTACAAGCTCATTTACTGCTTTTTTTCCTCCTGTGAATGTAAGCTTCACCGAGCTTATCTGTATATTTGCTGCCACCTGCTTCATCTATTGGTTGAATGGATCTGATCAATAAAGTAATTAGTCATATTACCTTGTATGATAGCTTTTAAAGATCAAAAGTAGTATGAAGTGTTAATGTTATTTAAAAGCAAAGTTGTAGTGGATTATGTTGGGTTATGCACCAGAAAGATAGGGCCAAGTCCACCTGGGCTCTCCGTGGGTGGAGTGGTTGCCATGGCAGCCAGCATCCTCTAATAGTGCAGGTCTCTTGCTTTGTGCACAGATCATCAGAGGGTCCTTTTCTATAAATATGCTGAAATCATTGGTGATGACTTTCATGAGTTAGAAGAAGGACTTCCTTGGGTCTTATGAAGTGCTAAGTTACCATGTCATTAAAAATTATTTTAACTAGGTCTGCTTTCCTTTTTTATGACTTAGGAGGAAAACAAGCACCCATATTGACAATTATTTCTAGATACATAATTTTATTATCGTTTAAACTAGGAATGTACTAGTAGGTTTACATTTCCTCCCTTTGCCCCTCTTCCTTCCCACCCCAAGCACTATTGATTGAAGAATTATTTGCTTTGCTCTTTTTCTGATGGAGTCTTTCATGAGTTTTCCATGATGAATAGGTTAATCAGGCCACTGGTCCTAACAGAACCTATTATTTCAATGCCGTTTGGCAGTGCGTTCTAACAGTCTTTCTTCTTTGCAGGAATACATTGCTAAGAATTTCTGTGTCATGCAGTCCCAGATCGGCTATGATATTCTGGCAGAAGACACCATCACAGCTTTGTTGCACAACAACAGGAAACTACTAGAGAAACATATCACAGCAAAAGAAATAGACACATTTGTCAGTTTACTCAGGAGAAATCGCGAGCCAAGGTTTGAAGTGGTTCATGCAGTATTCTTCGCTAGCACGGATTATAATTTCTGGCTTTATTTTTAGGACTTTTTAAAGTTAGATTTCTTTGATATCCCTGACTTTCACAGACAAGATTTGGTTGGGCTTCCAGCTGTTATAATTATGTATAGTAAAGGGTTATTACCTAATATGAAATCAAAGCCCTGTATAGCCTTACACGGTAATTGATTTACTCTGATAGGTTATGTTTTTGTAGTACTTTATAGTTTTTCAAAGTATATTCTTATACATTGTCCAATTTGAGTTTTTGCACATTCTCTTGAAGTACAGTAGACATTATATTATTACCCACACTTTAGAGTTGAGAACACTGAAGTCTAGAGAACAGCTTGCCCAAGAATACCCCAAGAGTGAAGAATAGAATAGAAAATAAATCCAGGGTCTCTGATGCCACATCAAGTTCTCTTTCTATTGAACCTTGCTCCCTTATAGGTATTGGAAAATTTAGATTGGTAAAGTTTTCTTAATTAGTGCAGCACATAAATTTTAGAAGATACAATTGTGGCCTTTTGTTTCTACCAGGCCACACTCACTTTGATTAAGTGAGTACTGTATTCCTGTTTTGTTTCATATTCAGTTCTGGCATAGTGTCACTTTAGGGTAGATAAATGATTTTCTAACCACAATAAGTCATAGTGGGATGACTATCATGAAAAAATAGAAGCAAACTTAATGCTTCTTTGAAACCAAATTTATATTAAATGCAAAGAATTGAATATTTAATTTGTTTGTAATGAGGCAATAGAAGAGCAGTACATTAGAAATATGTGACATGGAAATCATACCAAAGATAGAACTACATTTCCCTCTCTCTCAGAGTATATTTTTATTGTGGTGATTTTTACAACAGTTTTTTGTTTATGTTCAATATAATTTATTTTCCAGATTTTTGGACTACTTGTCAGATCTGTGTGTGTCGAATACCACGGCTATACCTGTGACTCAAGAACTCATCTGTAAATTTATGTTGAGCCCAGGGAATGCAGACATTCTTATTCAAACTAAGTAAGAGCAGATAATAGAAGCATCTTTTTCTGTTCATTATTGATAAGCATGGAAGTTCTTTATCAGATTTGTTAGTGAGCTTCATTATAGGTTTTGTGTGTATCATATTTCAAGGCTGGTCTCAATGCAAGTTGACAACCCTATGGAGAGTGCCATCCTTTCGGACGACGTTGATGATGAAGAAGTCTGGCTTTACTGGATCGACAGCAATAAGGAACCTCATGGCAAAGCTATCAGGCACCTGGCTCAAGAAGCCAAAGAAGGCACCAAAGTTGATTTGGAAGTTCTTACCTATTACAGGTAAAGTGTGGCAGAGAATCCTAATTCTCATCTCACCTATTCAGAGATAATTCTGTGAAGCCTTTTGAAGTCTGGTGTCTATGAAAAGTAAATTTAGAAACAGATATTAGAGCTTTGCATAGCTGAAATGTTTAGCATTGGTTACATATTAAAAATGTAAATTAACATCTGGATTTCCCATATATACCACTTGCAACTTTCTGATTTTTCACTAATTTGGAATTGTTGGGCATCAGAGGGCTTTTTCCCATTATTGATTGATGTGGGTGCAGATAAATGATATATTGGAACCTAGGTAATGGAGTTGAGAGAACAATGGAGCGGGGTGAGAAAGCTGCCCCAGCTCCAGTAGGCCTCAGAGAAAGTAACTGGTGTTTATAGTGTATAGTGGTCATGACAATGTGGAAACCTAGTGGTCAGGAGAAACTGGTATGAATGGTTACAAAGGTTCAGCAGAGGCACGTGGCAGCAGAGGTTCCCATGGTCATTCCCGAAGGCCAGCATCATGGAGCAAGAACCTGGCTGGTGGTGTTGAGTCAGAGGGATAGAATCCCAAAGCAGAAGAAATCCAGTCAGTTGTACCCAAATGATAGGAATCTGTGCGAGGCAAAGAATGCCTGGTGGTCCCTGGTTTCTATAGATGTAGCTACAAAGCAAAAGACTGATGCTTGATTTTGGAGGCAGATGAATCCAAGGGTACTGAGGCCATGTGGACTGTTCATATTTGGTTTCTTAATAGTGTAGATACTTAATCCTGGAGCTAGTGCAATTGGGGGAGATAGAGAAGATTTCATGTGAACCTTGTCCACAGCCTTCAGGTTTAGCGCATGAGTAATTCTAGGGCTCTAAGACCTGAGGGTCTAAGGACACCACTAGTAACAATGCTGGAACAAGAGAAATTGTAACTGAATGATCCTGGAGAACAATTAGAATATGTATGGTCATTTGTTTGCCTAACCTGCTGCTGAAATAATTTGACTCCTGGACCTCCCTGGTGGCGCCGGGGGTTAAGCGCCACATGGTGAAGCAAACCGCAGCCTCTGTGGCATGAGTTTGATCCCTGGCCTGCCAGGGAGTGACCCACATAGCGAAGCAGACCTCTCCTGTCTCGCCCACTGCTCCCCTCAGCAGTGTGTTTTCGTTGGTCTGCCCGTTTTGTTCCCCGCTCTGTCTCTGGTGAATCCTCTCACCGCCCCCTGCGTCTCTGGCCTGTACCCCAGCTCTTGTATGCATAAATAAATAAATCTTATAAAAAATAAAATAATTTGACTCCAGCTTCACATAAACTTGGAAATTTTAGTATTGTAGAAGGAGCACAGGGGGGGACTGTGGTTAAGGTGCACAGGTGAATTGGTGAAGGAAATTCTATGGGGAGTACACCTGAGAGGGGAAAGCAAACATTGTTTAAAAATGAACAATGGGGTACCTCCCAGGTGGTACAAAGGGCTAAATCTCAGCACTATAAAGCTACCTGCAGCCACTGAAGCACAAGTTTGATCCCTGGCCAGGGAGCTGACCCACATGGTGCAGCAGACTTCTTCTGACTCACCCTCTGCTCCCATCAGCAGTGTATTTCAGTAGATCCGCCTATTCTGTTCTCCACTCAGTCTATGTTGAATCCTCTCACCCCCATGTCTCTGGCCTGTACCCCAATTCTTATATGCATAAATGAGTAAGTCTCTAAAAAAATGACCAATCATGTAAAATATATATATATATATGTATATATATATATATAAATTTTTAAAAAATTAAGAAGTAGATCCTGACTGATACTATGATGTTTGAGAACTCTATGAAGAGCAGACCAGTAATGTGATATTTACTGTTTTTAAGGTACCAGCTGAACCTCTTTGCACGAATGTGCTTGGATCGCCAGTATCTGGCCATAAACCAGATCTCCACGCAGCTATCTGTTGATCTGATCCTGCGGTGTATGTCAGATGAGAGCTTGCCCTTTGACCTCCGGGCATCTTTCTGTCGCCTCATGCTCCATATGCATGTCGACAGGGATCCGCAGGAGTCAGTGGTACCTGTGCGCTACGCCAGACTCTGGACAGAGATCCCCACAAAGATCACAATTCATGAGTACGTTTGCAAAAATGTCATAAGGACTTTAAATTCAGCAGATGAACTAAAAACCAAATGTCTTCTATTCTGAAATGAAATATATGGAAAGGCATCTTTGCTTTAAAATTTAGGTCATTCATCTTCCAAATGCAAATTAGATGCTGTTTTTGAAGAGTAATATGACATCTCTGGAAAAGAGAAGCATCTTTCTGGAAACCAGTAAACAGACAATCACATTCACAATAAGAATCACGATTTAAGTGGTTAATACTGTGGTCAACTCAGAAACCAGTGCTTTGCTTGTGTTGACTCATTTCGTAATGACCCCATTTTACAGATAAGGGTATAATATCTAGAAAAGTTAATCAATTAACCCAAGATGACAAAGCCAGGAGGATACTGTACATATTTTCCTATTTTAAGGTGATTATAACCAATCTGACGTGCCTTATATTCTTTCTATCTTTTCAGATATGATTCTATAACAGACTCTTCTAGAAATGATATGAAGAGGAAATTTGCACTGACAATGGAATTTGTTGAAGAATATTTGAAAGAAGTTGTAAATCAGCCTTTTCCTTTTGGGGATAAAGAAAAAAACAAACTGACATTTGAGGTAATTTTTAAAAAAACTTCTCTGTCTGAAACTAGTTCCATTGAACAGCAGGATTTTTCCCACTAACATTGAGGGTGTTTTGGTAATTGGGTCACTTTCTCTGTGCCATTGATTACAAGATAGATTTGATTCTTTAATTACATTTGTCCAGTGGAAAATATTTTATAATTCTCTGTTAGCATGGCTTCCTTGATCTTTTTGTTTTACTTATTTGTGTTAGCTTTATTGCATTTAGTGGACAAATATAGCTTTGCATATTTTATAATATATTTGAATACATTTTTTTCATTTCCCCGAAGGTGATATTTTTAGCCTTATTAGATTGAATTTAAATATCTCCATTTACCATTTTGAGGATATAGGGACAAAACTAGAGGAGATATTACTTGATAGCTGGTGTGTAGCTACCTGCTGTTGTATAACATTTGCCCCCAAAGGTAGCAACCTAAAGCAACAAACAGTGTCTCACACCTAGGGGTCAGGAATCTGGAAGTACTTAGTTAGATGGTGCTGGTTCACTGTTTTCGTCAGGTTGTAATTAAATGCTGACTTGGGTTGCAGCTATCTGGGGTGAACAGTGTTTCAGGCTCACTATTCACGTGGTCGTTGGTGGCCATGTTTCCTTGCTGGCTGTTGACCAAATACCTCCCCTTCTTGTCACATTGAACTTTCTATAGGCTGCCTGGGTGAGCGTCCTTAGTGGATAGCACCTGGCTCCCCCTAGATCAAACGACAGGAGGAGACATACCTCATCCTCTTGCCCTAGGGACCTTGGATGCATTTGATGACCTTGGATATTATTCTAAACTTGTACAAATCAGAGTTCTAAAGTGGTTGCTTTTGCAGGTATTTTAATTCTTACGTATTAAAGGATTACAGAGTTGAGGAATAATAACTAATTTAGATAATAAAAAGTATTTCTGTTCCTAATGCTTTTCTATTCTGCCCCACCTTTTCCCCTTCCTTTTTAAGGTGGTCCACTTGGCTCGAAATCTTATATACTTTGGATTTTACAGTTTCAGTGAACTCTTAAGGCTAACAAGGACACTTCTGGCTATCCTAGATATTGTACAGACCCCCATGTCATCGTATTTTGAAAGATTAAGCAAATTTCAAGATGGAGGTAAGACTTGAGAAAAGTTATAGTTGGTTTGGTATTATGTGAAGATGAGATAAAAACAAGTCTACAGAGAAGTGGTTGTTAATGCGTACTTGCTAATAAATGTCACAAACAGAAAGTAATCCTGTGCCAAGATTGAGTGATATGACAGGCTGGGTTTTCAAACTTACTTCCCTGTTTTTAACACTAAAGCTTAGAAAGGTAATTTTATGAGATCAAGCTCATCTTGAGAATAACATAAGAGCCAATCCATTAGTGAAAATTTAATGTGCTGAAAAATTAATACTTTGGATATTTATGATCACCCTTGTAGGTGTCATGCTGATTATGCCTCATAGCAGGGGAGAGAAAAATGCAAAGAATGGGTGCACTCAGGGTCATCACAGGAGAAGTAGTGAATGCAAATCCAGTGGGAATGGGCTTTTGCCTCTGCCGTTTGCAATTCCTGCCCTTACCCTTTGTTGTTAGTCATGGTGTTTATCTTCACTCTAAGTTTTTTTTCTCATCTGAGATATGAAGATGATAATAATATTTTGTTCAGTTTCCTTATGAGAATTAAGTGGATATAAACAAAACATTCCAAGTACTTAAAACAATGTCTGTCTCATAACAAAATAAAATAATTTTTGACGTCCTGAAAACAGTAGATGATTGCTCGCAGCAGGTGTATTGAGAATGCATTTAGGATTTGCATCTGTAAGGAAATGAGGAGGGTAGGAGTGAACAGACAGAGAAGCTGATCTATGATGCAGTTACAGGGGAGACCCCAGCTGACCATCAGGGAGTTCAGGGGCTAGGATGGCCCTCTGTACTTGTCAGAAATGAAGGCCTGGGAGCTAAGCTTTGCACCATTGTATCAGCCTTCTGTTGACTCTGGCTTCTTCATGGAGGGGTGTGTAGGTTTGGGTAAAGCAGTCGGGGGTCACTAGCCAGGGGTTATTGTGATGAGGCACAGCTATGAGAAGTTGGTTGTCCTCATGCCCAGGAATTGGGGATCAGCTTTAAGGAAGGACATGGATGGAGGACAGTGTATCCACTACAGGATGAAGAAAGTTCAATGAGAAACCTAATTTTAGATAGAAGAAAGAAATAAATACCTGGTTAAAAATGATAAATTAGGCACTCCCAGGTAGCTGAAGTAATGAACTGCTGCCTCCTAAATCTCAGCTCCTTCTGCATCATCCAGAATATCTGTTTAGATCAATAAGAAGCAAATTAAATGACATCAGTCCCTCATCTTCAGCAGAACTAGAAGACAGAAGACAATACAGACTTTAGTTACTGTAAATAGAATAGTGACATCCATTTGTAGTAGAGCTGACTCATAAGCTCACTGCAAGCCTTTGTGGACAGTTCTGGGAAAACCCATCTAGAAGAGATAAGAAGGGATTATGTGAGAGTCATCCTTAGACAGTGTGAAAGTACTGAAAGAGAATCCAGGTATATAAGAGCAACCAGTAAAGAGGAAGGGAGTTCCTCTTTAGAGCAACAGGCCTGGAAAAGCAATGCTTCCAAAGTGAACAAAGTTAACAGCGAAGGAGAGGCGCCCTTTGGAGTCTTGCTGGTAAAAAGAAAAGAAGCAAGGATGACAGATCCTGAATACCAGGTGACAAAGTGATAATTGAAGGAAATATAACTCCTCCCCATAGCCCTCCACCGAGAACCAAGCATTAGAGAAACTGTCACGGCTTAAAGGAGAGGGTGCTCTTGAACTAAAGATCTCATAAACCAGTTCTTTCTGTCAATCTGGTTCATGAAATGCTTACATGTCCTCAGCTTCAGCTGTAAGAAGTAACGAAGATCAAAACAGAACAGAAAATCCAGATATCAGTAGATGGAAATTCCTCCCTGAAAAGCAGCCTTGAAACAGAAGAAAATTGTAACGTGATGCTTTACAATGAATTAAATACTTTCAAACAAACTAACTCTCAAGTAGTGCAGGGAAGGTGCAGGCATGTAAAGAGAGTGAGGGAGGAGTAGATGTGGTAGAATATGTGGATCTAATAAATCTGGGCAGAGGATAGTATATGAGTTCTTTGTATTATTTTTGCAACTCTTCCCATACGTTGGAAAGGATTTCAAAGCAGAGGTTAACTTAAATAATTAGCTAAGTAGAAAAATGATTTATAGAAGTAAGATGACACTTCAAACTTACAACTCTACTAGGAAGTATGTTATTATAGCTGAGTTCCATTAGACTATAAATTTCTAACGTAAGTTCTGAGCAACTATAAATCCTTAAAAGAAGGAAGAAAGAACACATTTCGAGACTCTCCCAATGTGGAGACAGGCTTGTCACACCTGGGAAAATTTCTTGTGTTGTGGGGGAAACAGGTTGATGCCAGAGAGCACATCCCAGATCATGGAAAGTACCTGGGGAAAGAAGATTTGTTTTAAGGGACAGCTCACGGCTGGGGCAGCGCCTCCCTGTGGCAGCCCCCAGTATAATTCCACTGGGGCTCCTTTCTATTCAAAGAGTTTGGATTATAAATTTCTATTTTAGTGAAACTTTTTTTTCAATTGAAAACCGCTTGCAAAGTACAACACACACACACATACACACACACACAAAAAAAAAAAAACAACCCAGGAAATAGTTTTGTAAGCCTTGTTGCTAGATTTTGTAAGCCTTTAAGTAAATGATAACACTTTTCTCAATCCGTGTTGTCTGCAAATTTTATGCGATGGCACAAGGTCTGTTTTCATCCTTCTGATCTGTTCACTACTGGTGAATTCTATTCCATCCCAGCTGGGGCTGGACATTCAGAGAGACCCATTCCCTGAGGTTTGGCAGGTCAGACCCTGGGGAGTTGGAAGATGAGCCGTGTGAATGGCAAAGGCTATAGGTTCCTGGAGCTTAGTTCGGTCCCTGCCCCACTTGCATCTGTTTTAAATGGGTGCATGAGCAGCTTCCATTCAGTGTTTTTTGGGGGAAATCCTAGGTGTAGATCCCAGCAATGGGGATGGCTGGCTTGCAAAGTGGCAGGTAACAAGTTTTCTCTTCTGGATGTTTGTGGTGCCCCCACCTCCAGGTGACTGTGGGCTGCCTTATCCAGAGCTGTGGGGGGTCAGAGCTCCATCCTCAGGCCCTGCCACTCCCCCTCCCAGGAACTTTCTTCTGGTGGGAATGCTGAGCAGAACTTGCTAGGCCCAGGAGAAGCTGCTTTTCACCTTGCATGTGCCAGAGGTGGCCCATTCAGGGAATTTCCGGCTCTCTCCCAGGGACACCAGCGTGCTGGCTTGTGCTCTGGTGAAACAGCAGATTCCAGTCTTTAGAACTCTCAATCTAATGCCTCTTATTGGCTGTGTACTCACTTAAGGAAAGAAATATTGTTTTCAAACAAATGTATTCACTCCCAGCAGGCTATGTTGTTGAGTCAATTTCCTCGCCTAATACCTATCATTTGCTCTCAGCGACTTAAAGCACACAGGCACTGTTCAGTGTAATTGATCTTTTGGGTGGAAGGATTATGTCAAGTCAGGCTCTTTGTGGTGTTTAGAAGTTACAAGCAAATGCATGCACAGGATATATCCAATATATAGTCAGAAGCTCATTGCATTGAAAAATAGATAAATTTTTTCTCTTTATGCTTGTTGAAGGGTATCCAAACCAAGGGTTTATACTAATGATAAAGAACATTTTTTATAATAGGGAGGGTATGTTTTGTTCTACTAGACAGCCATCTAAATGATGGGGGACACACTTGAATCCTACTTGCACATTCTTGTACTGAGCAGCATGACATACTTCCTCTGAGTAGTGGGAGCAAGGACTGTCTCCACCCCAGCAGTGAGGAGCTGACAGTGTAATGGAAATGGCTGGAGTCTAGTTTGCTCTTCAGTTCTCCTCTCAGTATGTTTCCTCTTACCTCTCTGCTATTTGAGGGGAAATGGAGTTCACATTTAAACATGGAGCAATGAAGTCTCAATCACTGAGTAAAATTTAGGCTTGGTGAAGGTGTCCAGGCCACCATTATCATGTCTTTTCCTATCCCTCCCATTGCTAACTCCCTCCAACTCACTGCAATTTAAAAAATCAGTATGTCAGAAAACTGCCAAAAAGCAACCCTCCTTTACCTGTTGTGCTTTTCCACCACTCCACATTCTTGGGAGTTTGCATGGTCAGATCCTGAAATGTGCACTTGTCCTCAGGTCATAACCAGGTAACCTCTTTTGTTAGCCTCTAGATTGTCATGTTGAAAATGGGAAGCCTGTTAAAAATTTTCTTTTTGTAAATTATTTCATTTACTTTTAGAATTTCTTTTCCCTTGAGGTTTCAGGTTTGGAGCTGAAGTACTTTTGATATTTAAGATACAGGTGACTTCAGCAGCCTGAAATTTTCCTCTTGCTCTAAAAGCGTTGAGCTGCATGGGGTGACTTGTGGCCTGGTGGGCCCATTCCAGGGGAGGGGAGAGAGCAGAGAGCGGTGCTGAGACACGTGGGTGCATGTGTGTATATATGCATATACTGCTGAGGCACACACGTGCAGGGGTCCCTTCGCCCTGGGAGATCTGTGGAGGAGAGTATGAGCCAACTCTCCATCTGGTGCGGAGAGCCAGCTGCTTCTGCAGTTTAACTTTTTTTTTTGTCATGTCGGAAACTTCATGTACTCCACCTTACGAAGCTTTTTCTGGCAGCAGAGTTGCTTTTAAAAAGAAGAAGGGAAATTGAGATGGGAGGTTGGGCAGAAACATTGTTTAATGTTGTTTTATGGGTGGGAAAGGAATGAAATATTTGCAGGCAAAACATCTGCCAGAAAACAGTTTCTTCCTCTATAAAATTAGAACGTTAGTGTAAATGTGATCTTTACCATCTCTTTCGTTTTGAAACTGATTCTTTGAAGATCAGTATGGGATTCTCACTCACTCACCGGATGGTGTTCTTTTTAGTGTGTGTTACGAGACGTTCTTTTAACAAATACCCGTGAAGCATATCTTCTGGTTAATAGCCGTGATTGCTCTCTATAAAGGCACAGCTAGAATGTCTTGAAACCAGAAACCTTG